ATAAAAGCTTAGGTGAGAGTAAATCGCACTAAGGTCTCCTGAATACATTCCTTTAAAAATAACTATGGAGTAGGAGTCCTATTCGAACTGCAAACAGTAAATACCCAATGTTTGTACTGTTTGTTCCACCCATCCCTTTTCAAATGAGCAAAAGATTTGACACCTTTCCAGTGAAGACATGTTTAGAGGGGGGGACAGGTGTAGAACTGAATCAGTAAAACAAACAAACAGAACCCTATTAAATGTGACGCGCACTTCAATTAGAGAATTTTGTCTTCAAGGAAAGTCACCTTGACTTCAAAAACTAAACAAGTCCTGCATGATATGTTAATTATGATGCATCTCTTTGACTAAATGGTTGAATAAGTTTTTAAGCACTCCTCTTGGTTAAGTAGCTCACAAAGTTCTTCCCTCCTTGGTGTTTTTTTTTTCTTTGTTTTTTTTTTTTTTTTAACTCCCCCTAAACAGAGTTGGTTGGTCAAGTTGATCTCTTGTTTGAAATTCAATCAAGGGCATTAAAGTGTAAACCAGTTGGAAAAACAAAGAGCTTAGGGAAATCATTTGCTTAAACAACAACAAACAAGCACTGGTAATCTTCTTAAAGAAATTAATGAAGGGAAAACCCCCTCAGCTTGGGTGGATAATGATCCTTAGCTATCATGTAACAAGCCTAGAAGGTTTAGGGAGAAGGTGAAAATTAAGAAAGCTGGATTAAACTGAACTTCCAGAGGAACAAAAAGAAATTTGGGATAAAGATCAGTTCTCCCAAATTGAGATTGAGAAGTAGTTCTGAACTGGAAGGAGCTTAATCCTTTATGCAAATCTGGTTTAGAGGTAACTTTTCATCTCAGGATGTTTTTGTATTTTTTTTTTCTAGCATACAGTTAATAAATATTTAAAAATAATTCAGAGAACTATCTTGTTAATAGCTTCTTTAAGCAAGGAAAGCATAGAGCAATAAAACTGGAAAATGTAAAAAAAAAAAAAAAAAAAAAGTTACCTTTATCTTCATATGATTCTTTAATGCTTATTCTTTACTAATTAATCTCTTCAAATTATTTAACCACAAAATTGAGATCTCTTTACATTAGAGCCTACCCCAGAGGATATTCATGAGGGACTTCCTGATAACTCAACAAAATTTAATTAGTTTTCTCAGTACCTACATGTTTATCTTTTAATAATGATCAGAGGTACCTTCATTTCCACTAAGAAGCTAAACTCACTTCTGCAACTTCTTTCCAACAGTCAGTCTGCATTGGAACAAATAGGCTACAATTATGACAAACATTTTTACTCACAAAATACTGATTCCTATTTCAATAAAAGTTTCTAAACATCCTATCTGATGGTTGTTGTGGTTTTTTTTTTTGTTTGTTTGTTTTTAACAAATAGATGATATTTCTGTTTAAATGGGAAAAAGATCATCGAACACTGCAGTTAAGTCTTTCTTCATGTCCGCTCCTCCACAAAACAAGGGGGGGTTGAGTTGTCAAGTTTTTTGCTTATCCTCAGGCTCATCAGTGCCCAAGTCTTGTTTTGAGTCAGTGGAAGTGCTGAAAAGCGAAGTGATGGAAATACACGTTTTTGTAGCTCTGCTAGGAAAAGTGGAACATATAAGCCTTACTAATGAAATGAAAAAGTGGTGCTTGGGGATCTGGGCTCTGTCTCGGAGTGACCCGTGGGAAGCCAGGTGGCAGTTCTCACCCACCCTACACTCAGACCTCGTACAGTGGAAGTTGTAGGTGGAAGTTCCTTTGGGCACCAAGCCCACAAACACTTGCAGGCGTTTTCAGATTTATGGGGCTCTTTGCAGTGTTGCAAGGCAACCCCACGTCTAGGAGTGCTTTTGCAGGATTGGAGCATTGCTCTTTCTAATCATACATAGCTCACCTGTTTTCTGATGCTACCATTTCTCTGGACGGAAAAGGATTTCAGGGCATCAGCTGGATGGGTCTGAAATGTGTTACATGTGGTATGAAGCCTACTGAAAAATATTTAATCTTGAGGGATGGATGAGAGGACTGCAGGGGGAAACATGCCTTTAAAATCAGAGCAGTAATAATGACTTTAAAGGTTTGTACTGTGCTATCACCGAGCCATTAAGCCTGATGTCCTCCTTTCACGGAATTTCTCCTGGCTTATTCTCAAATACATTTAAGAGGTTAAGTAATAGGAAGTCAATGAAGCTGGTGATACTTTAAAGTTCTCAGAGACTGATTGTTTTACATTTCAGCGTAGATTAGATCAGACTGAGCAGAAGTCACTTCATATGAAATATCCTCGAGTGTGTAATCTATTGATTTAATTTTGTAGCCTCGATCTAGAATTTAAGTGAGAAGACTGAAATAGGAAGTCCTTCACACTTACTTCATTGAATTTCTCTTCATGGATTGTCAATACTTCCCTATATAAACAGACAGGAAATTGTACACGATTTGAAAGCTTGGGTAGCTGTCTGAAACATTCCGGCTAAGATCGATTTATTCCTGTTCTTTCTAAAAGAACTTCCAAAAATATTAGGAGTTTTTAGATTCTTAATTAAAATAATGATCATATCAATGTTTACAAAACTTTTTAAAAAATAAATCCAGGGCTTGAACAATTTTTGATTAGAATCTATCAAGTATGAAAAAATATATGCTGTTTTGAAGAATATGTTTCCCTTTCAACCATATGTGTATAGAAATAGAACTATACTAACCCGCACTTATTTACACTGGCCTATTTACAGTCCTTATCTGGTCCCCATATCTATAACCTTGAGTGCTTCCAAGTCTTTAAGGTATTTACTCTCGTTGCCCAGTAGGGCAGAGCAGTCCTCCATGTTTGACAGGGAGCTGGGGACACAGAATCTCAAGTCCTGATCCCCCAAAGTATTTAGATAAGTAATAAATTTCTTGCAGGAGTTCAGAGGTCTGTCGTATTTTCAGGGAGAGTTAGGGGAGTAACAGGAGCATGGTGTCTGAATACATTTGAGTATCTTGACCTATAATTGAGGGGTGACTGACCTAAATCCCACGGAACAGGGATTTGAATTGGGTCTCCCAAATCTCAGGTTTGATGATCTAACTGCTGGACCCCTCTCCAGACTATTCTCTTCTGTGCTCCTGCAGATTTATGTCTAAATCCTGCGGTGGAGTAGATGAAACTGAAATGTGAAATATGTTCATGGTTAGCGATGCAAGTGTTGCTCATACTCAGAAATATTTCTTTGCCAGCCTGAGGTTCTTAAATAGGATCTAGGAACTGTTGAAAACACCATTATTGGTAAAATAAATACCTAACATGCTATACCTTTTCTTTGTATCCTATCCATTCTGGTGTTCAGCTTTGCTATTTGGAGGATCCTTATCTCAATGGATAAACATTCCTTTTTAGCTTTCAAACAAGTTTTGGACTCAGGTAGGCTTACTGATGTGACTCACTTCTGATTACTGTTTACTCAGCTTTTATGCTAGTACCTAAACGTACTTGTTCAGCCTCTAATTTCTGTTTGCCAGTGAGAAGGGAGTTGTAATTGTGGTTCTCACCTGTCTGCTCTCATGAATGACTCACCAGTTTTAGCTGGTTCTCAGAAGCTGTATTTTTAGAGGATGTAATTAAGATAGTAGTTACCAAAAAAAAAAAAAAAGTTTCATATGTTAAATTACTAAAAGCAAGCATATTATAATGAAATCTTAAATACCCATGTGAAGCAGCTGTTGTTGAACTTGAGGTTTTAGGCTTGTCTGTTGCTACTACTTACGGTGCTCAGGTTACTGTTTGCAAATAACCCAAGCCAAAAAAAAGTTGACAAATGGATTCTGAAAGAATTCAAATTCTTGCAGTTCTTGGATGCCTCAGGCATATTATGTGGGGCATAATGGCCAAATCTCAGTTCAGATAGCTGTTTCCATGGGAAGGAACTGTCTTGGACTGTTTTCTAAGTCACTTCTTTTTGATCTTTGATACTATTTCTAAATGGTCTCCTCATACACCATCAGTGTTGGACATCTTTTATATCACTCGTAGACTTAGAAAAGTTGACCAAGGACATTCCCATACAGAGGCTGATTTGGGACTGTATTTGTTGACAGAGTCGGCGTTGTCTGTCTGCCGAGACAGCTGTCCCACATTCATGGAGCTTGTGCTGTTCTGCAGCAGCCAAAGCTTGCTGATGTGTGAAGCGTGCTTGCTATTACGATACGGTGAATGTTGCTGAAAACTCTCATGTTATTAATAACGATAATCTCATGTTATTGAATCCACAAAGCACAAGAATGGTTTGGCTTTGAGGAACAATCCCAGTACCCTGTAAGTAGACCCCAGCTCCCACAAGTAGGAGTGATAGCAAGCAATAATGTCACCTGTGGTAGTGGCGCAAAGCTGGGAAGAGCTATAGTCATCAAGGGCAATTGAGTAGGTTCTGCTTGCGATTGTGAGACTCTTCCCTAAAGGCCTTAGGGTTTCTACAAAAACCTGTCTAGTTTAACAGGTGCTTTTGGGTGATTCTCAGAGGCACCTATAATGTTCTAAGTGCCAGTGCTGTTACTGGTTAATGCAGTGCTCTGTGTGCTGCTCCACTTGGGAGCTTGCCTAAGTTCATGGCTACTGCAGAACTGGCTGTTCTGGCTGGGGAGAAGAGATCAGCCCGGGAAGAATACTCCAAACTTGATGATGCCTTGTGGTCAGATAGAGTGGTACTGCAAAGCACAAAGGAACAAAATCTAAATAAAAGGTCTTTCACTTCTGTTTTCTTGCCTCTTGAGTGTCTTGTTGCAGGACTAGGAAAGCATCACCATAATAATGCCTTGCTATAGGGAAACTCTTCTCTAGTGATTTAAGTTGTTCCTGGGCATTTGTGGAATCTAGATATCCTTACATAAATCAGGATGTGATCTTTGAGTAAAATAAATAAATCTATGGGGGAAAGGGGAGGTGGGGAAGTGGAAGGAAGTAGTGACTAATATGTTTATATTTTGGGGATCATTATAATAAGTGTAATGTAATTATTCCAGTTTTACAGATGGAGGAACTGAGGCTAAGAAAACTACATGTCTTGTGAGGTGACATAAGTGTTTAGTGACAGAATTGCTCTTTCCTGCTCCTGTAAGTATAAGAAAACCGCCCTACTCTTCTGTTTTGTTTATTATAATATGCATATGATCAGTCAAATATTTCCTAAGGATGAATCTTAAGTTGTTTTGAGCTTCTTCCATACCTTCATTATCCACTCAATGGTAGTTAAATGACCTGAGTTCTGTGGATACTGTAAATCCATGCTTTTGGAGGAAGTCCTGCAGTACCTTAAGTGTCTGATTTTTGTTTAAAATAAGCTGTCAATTAATTCACTCTCATATTTAATAAGAAGCTGTACAATGCATAACTGTGATTGCAGATTGTAACCTAGATTTTTCAGATTTATAGGCTTTTTTTTGTATATTAATCTAATGAAAAGTAAAAATTGGCATGTAAAGCTTCATAAATAGTAGTGCTTGAGGCTGCTGCCTGAGTGTGTGAAAGCAGCACTGTTTTTTCTCCTATGACATGAAGCTTTAAGGACTTTTTGTCCTGATCAAGAAGGAATGCTTTAATAAGCATCCATGTTAGAGGGTTTGTGCTGTGTAAGCTCGGTACAGACCATATGGGCAAAAAGGCACATTGTGCGGCGACAACTGCCCTGCTTGTCATCCCCAATCATACTTGCTCTAATCCTTGTTTTAATTTACTCTGCTTGTACAGCACCAATCCTGCCAGTGCGGTCCTTAGGGTCCCTTCATTCCTGCCATTTATGACAAGGAATATGCAAAGGCAAAATTATTCATCCACTAAGGTGACAGAGAAGGGCTCTGCTTGGGAATACGTTCCCAGACTTGCAGCATCATAATGTCAGTTGTTAAAACACTTCGCAGTTGCAAACAATTCTTGAGAGAATTTTTTAAATGTTTTTGAACACTCAATTGCTAAAGCTTGGACTGGTCTAAATGAGTCCTTATTGATTAAGAACCGCAAAGTTGGAAAGTTCTGATACATAAGGTTCTCCAGACTCGACTATTTATTCAAATGAGATGGTTTTTGTCTTTCCCCATCCACTTAATTATTGGGCTCATCTCATTTGTTTAACTTCAGACAAAGGATAGTATGTTGAGCCACCCTTATTAAGTCTTACAGATTGTATATTGTTTATATTCTGATGTATACCACATTCCTAAACGGACAAAAAAAAAAAAGCCAACAAAAAACCCTCAAGTGTAGCATTCAGCCTCTCAAGTCCATGATGTATTTCATTTGCTACGGTCAGAGCAATTTTAACAATGCCTTTCATTTTCTTATAGCCTAAAATGATTTTCTTTCTGTGAGGCCATTCTCCAAAACTTCTCTTCCCCTTTCAGGGTATCATTTGCAATTTAAAGCTAACCTGGTGAGTGTACTAACAATAGACTTGCCCATAAAATGGTTCAAGGCCTGCCTGCATGCCTAATGAGGTTGATGTTGAGCTATTTAGCTCTTTGTCCTTCCATAATATCTACTTAATGCAGTTCAATGGGAGTGGATTGTTAGAAGCATTAAAGATTCTATTAAGTCTTTACTAAAGCCACTCTATTCTAGTCCAGCTGTATAGTGGCAAGAGCATTAAATTTGAGAATGTAGTGGGAACAAGGGGCCTGAAAAAGCACCTATAAAAAACGGACAAATTTCCTAACGCAGTAAGACCACACTCAATTTAAGACCTGTTACTTTTGTATCTAGATCTAAAGAGTTCCTCAATGTGCATCTCCCTGCGTTCTGAATTAACTCCAGTTTCGCGGAACGGACGAACAAGGTAGCTTTAAATCTCCATTTATTCCCATAGCACACGGGTAGTTTTTTTTGCTTTGCCATGCCACCTGAAACAATTAATGTTATAATCTCAGAGAAGCAACACATTTTTGTGAGGGCCTCTTTTCAGATAATGCTTAAATATACTGATATTGATCTGAATCGGGAATTCAGAAATCTCTGCACTTAGGGGGAAGATAAACAACACTTCTGATGAAAAATATTCATTCAGCACATTGTTTTGCTGAAGGGATTGTTTTTTATCAGGGCTGTATGGTGCTAGCCACCAGCATTGAGCGGGTGGAGGGGGGGAGAAGGGGTAGAATGGCCAGGATTTCACACAGTTGGCATTGACTTGGCTTGAAGAGGCAAGCACTAAGCTGTCTTTTCAACCATAGTAAAAACCCTCCATCTGGCCACCCTAAAACTCTGTTAGCTTGTTCAACTCGCTGTCGGCTGATTGGGCTTTGTGAAGCAGAAGTAACAACATCAATAGTATAAACCCTTGCCACTTGAGAGTATTACATTTCATTTCATGCTTGACTTAATCAAAACTGGGGAAATGAAATTTACACCTTTTTGATGTTCTTTTCCCTGCTGTTTAAGGAGAAGAATCTTAACCCATTTGATCTTCACATGCACCCAATAAATGACCAAATATGCCAAGCTGCCAAAAGCAGACGGCTGCCAGTTGCCAGTTTATGTCAGGTCACTGTGAAAGAGCTTAATGCAGAAGGTCTTAAGTTTCATACCAAATACCTCAATTTGCTGTACAGTGTTTTGGTGCAACATCGACAGTTTAGCTCCCCTCCCTATTAATATTAAACTATTATAAAGAAAGCAAAAATGTCATTTTCACTGGAGGGAAATGTGTTAGCAGTCGGCTGTTGCATGACAGAGTCAGGAGAGAGTGACAGAGATGAAATGAAGCTGGATGTGAATCGCTTCTTCAAACCCTTGACATTTGTTCCTTTCTTTCTTGGCTCTGATCTACATGATATACAGAGTTGTTGTTGTTGTTTTTCCTGCTAATAACAAGACAGTGCAACACAGGATTAGAGATTGAGTGAGTGAAAAATGGGACTGGTGATAACATTTTCCCAGTGCCTGGGGGGAGGCTCATTAAGCAGGAGATCAGATCGCTACCAAAATCCATACATAAATAAAATCAACAACTAACAAAGTTCTGTTTTGCAACTTACGCATGTAGAAAGCTTTTGACTCAGCAAAGGCGAGCCTGGAGAGAGGCATTGCTGCTCGTCTTGTGGCCAAGTTTCAAGCTGGTTTTTGGTCCTCAGGCCGGTCTGTGGCTGTTGGGCAGGTTCTGGAGCTCGTGCCAGCACCCGTACCAGGCGGGCAACCACCACACCAACCCACCCGCCAACCCAAGAACCGAGCGCACCGCGACGCTCGCCCGCCTCCAGCCTCCCCCGTCGCGTCCTGCTCTCCTCAAAGACCTTTTGCCTTTTGTCAAGGGCCCTCATTTATGACTTGATGAAAACATTTGTAATAGATAATCAAATACTTATACATTCTGGGGGACAATATCCTATTTGTTAAATATAAATTAACATTAACACAGATCCCCCATTGCAAAGAGGCGAAGGGTTTTGACACCTTTTCAGCAAGACAGGCCGGGCCCCAGCAAAGAAAGCCGAGGGCCTGTAAAGGAACTTGTCTCGAATGGTGATCCTCGGGCTCTTGTGTGACAAGGTACATAGTTTCTATTCAGGGACAGGCAGATTATTGGTTACTATAGTTTCCCTAATGCTCAAATGAAGCCAGGGCCTAAGCTGAACAGAATAGGTTAAAAGGTGCCGATGTTTGGGCCTGCGAAACCACATGTTGAGAGTCAGAGACCAAACAAAACAAAGAGCACATCTCTCTGGTCTTTGATGTCTTCTCTGAGGGATGCGGAGTGAGAAAAATGCAGCCGTGCCCCCGGATCTGGCGGCTGGGCCGCCCCGTGACAGCGCGTCAGTGTGGGAGCACGAGCACAATGGGGGCCGCAGTGTGCCCGGGCCCTCGGCCTCCGAGGCCGGCCTTTTCCTACGGGGAATCGGTGAGAGGCTGTCACGGCCTCTCTCGGAGAATCGCTGTCACTGTACACGTTTATTCTCCCGCATGCTGTAGTCTCACACCAAGGACCCTCGAAGAACTAAGTTTAACTAAGCTTCATTTGCTGTCCTCCATGTGTGTTTCCTTTGAGTCTCTCCTTTAGTATTCTGTTTGTGTTGCGTGCTTAAAAACTCTTTACAGCGCTTCAGCTAACAGCTTTTTATTTCGCTGCTTGCCTCAGTGTCTGCCTTGAGTCCGCTGCGGAGCTGGTGTGCTGGCTTCTCGACACCTCTTGCATGAATCACTGCCTCTGCCCTTTTTTTTCCATTTGTGAGTATACAGTGTTCTCAAACAATTCATATTCACCGTAAAAATGTTCTGTGTAGGATATCCCCTGATAGCACGAGCAGTGCTTTTGCATTTTTCATAAGCAGGATTAAAATACCCACTACTTGTGCTCCTCATGTAGGTCTCCTCCACTCTGTTGAAGCTCGGTTTAGTGTTTTAATTTTTTATTAAAACTCTTGTAAGCAAGATAAATGTGCATTGGCATTAAAGGCAGAATGCTTTCTTTGGTAGGTTATATTGCCACAATTTGCCTCTGCTCTTTAAGTATGCCAGTACTCTAGATCCAAGTATTATGCAAAGCAAAATTAATCAGCACCTGCATCTTTTTAAATAATAGAATTGGTGAATTCTAAAGTTTTATCAGTGTTATTGTAATTCTGATTGTCGTTGGTTCTTTATACCATTATAGAAAAATATCTAATTGTAACAACTGTATTCCTATAGTGAACATATTACTTGAATTCAAACCCTAACAATGGCAATAGGATAACTGTCCTTGAATTTGAGCCTTTTGTGATACATCAATAGGCTTACAATGTGCTGAATTAGCAGGCATATTAATGGGCAGATGCAGCACCAGCCCATTCTTTTTACCCAAATCTTCTTATGCAAATACCCCATGAATCCAGTTCAAAGAGCTAGCTTTAAAATGAGCTTCTACACACATTCAGATGGGTCCTTTCACAACTAGCAATGGGACTTAGATAGAAAGTGACATGAGAAAAGTTTAGACACTTGTTTTTATAACTGAACATGATCTTGTTATCATAATCTGATACTGGTAACTGGCATGGTCTGGTTGTAGAATTTTAAGCCTTTAACAGAGGGAGATAATCTTGGCCTTTGTGCTACAATGTACTGAATCCTGCACTTGGTGAAAGCTATCAATGAGAATCGCAGTTCATGCTTTTTCAAACAAAACTTTTTCATGGTGAAGGCTTTTATCCTATGATAATTACTTAACTGATTGTAGTGGTGCCTTTAACATTAGTGAGCTCATAACAAGGGCAAATAAAAAAGGTTGCATTATTTTAGAATAAATAAATTATCAAATAAACAGGTTTTGTTTGCTTGTTGAACTAAATGGTAATGAGGTCATTATTAAAAATGCTAATGCACACCAGCATGGCTAGTAAAAGTTAATGTATTTTGTGATCTTTCTTTTGTTTGCTATGTTTCTTGTGATTATTCCACATCAACTGCATCTGGGTGAGAGTGTTTTTAATGATTTAATTGCAAATCTAGGAAACCCTGCCAAAGGAAAAGGAGGAGAGTACTTTTACCAAGTCTTTGATGTTGAAGCTGTTTCCTTAAAGATATTGTAAATTTGTCTGCTATTTTAAAGAAAACCTATGGTTTCTTTAGGTGTTTAAAAAGAAAAAAGAAAAAAATCAGTTTATTTTAAGAAGTCCAAACGATGGTGAGAAGGGATTTCGTGTTGACATTTCCCATACATGCTGACCAACCTTCATTAAAGCAACGCTTCCTACAGAATATTCTATGGGAAGTGTAAAGACAACTGAGAATCGATTCTCAGCTGGAGCAAATTGGCATAACTAATTGACTTCTGTGGATTTGGTCCACACAGTTGCAGCCTTGGCCAGTGTGTGGAGTTGATAGATGTAGATAATTTAAACTACATGAGATTATTGTAAAAAGGGGTGGAATGCTCTGTTCTTTTATCATTCCATGTAGAGAACCACAGTGTGTATTACACTAGCCCTGTACAACATTACTGATTGATTTATTTACACATTTTTTCTGAAATGAATATTTACATGTATAGTATGTTCTGAAGCATTAATGAGGTGATACATTTACTAAGATCCTTAGTGTAATAGGTAAGCCTAAGAGCAAGTATATATTTTAAGTGCTTATTTTCAGGGCAGCACAACAATCTTGTATAGATGCATTCTGGCAAAAATATCATGGATTGTGCTTCATAGCCTTCATGGAGAAATGCACTGTTAAGCTTTAATGGTAGTGAATGTGAGAGTTCCAGTGAGTCATCTTCTGGATGCTTTGTGTTGCGGCATTATTTAGAGACATCAATACTTTGGTGATATGTCAATTTTTTTTTCTCTATTTCCTGTAAATCTGCAGTAACAAACTTACGTGCTAAAAGAATATGTTGAATTCACATACATGTACATAGAAGGCCTAATTCTGTATTCAGATGTACATAAGTAGAAGCCTTCCTCTCCTGGGAAACACAATCCATCACCATAGATCCTATTGAGCCATTATTGTCTTACTCATCTGGAATAAATTTCACCTTTCATAAGATTATATTGCTTATCAGAAAAATACAGTTAAATCTGAAGGAGGAGAGTATGAGAGTGAATGACAGATGGGAACCTGCTCCAAAGACCATGATTCCGTAAGGAACCCCTGTGCAGGAGAGGCTTCTCAGTGACTTTGTCAAAGGTGTTCCTGGAGCATGCAGTAACCATAGGTGTTATGTTTTTTGAGAATGCAAAATAATTGTGTATACCTAGCTCTATCATAGTTAATGAATGACATGTAAAGTAACTTTAAATCTCTTAACTCTTCCTGTGTCACTGCATTTTTTTACTTTGCAGGTTAAACTAAAGCAGTTAAATGAAGTGTTAATGTCTTGCCCTTGTTTCTATATCTGGAAGTGTTTAACCACAGCATGAAAAAAAGTGTGAAACGTAATCAGTGTGGAGAACTACTGAAAGAGTAAAGAGTAAAAGTGAAATGTAAGAGGGGAGAGAGAGAGGGGAACAGTCCAGAAGATAAGTATCAAACTGCTGAACTGTAAGATACGTAAAAGACATGAGAAGAAATCAGTGTAAAATAATGGCAGGTAGTGTTATTTAGGGAGCAGAAAAATGAAAAAGTCCAGATTCTGTTTGCCATTGTGTAGTTCCCTTTAAAATTTTGTGCCTCATTTTGCCAGTATATGAAATGGGGGCAGTTATAGCAACCCTTTGAAAATGGATTTTGGGACTCTAGATGAAAATTTTCAAGGACGTGTAAATTACTAATACCTGTTACTTTACTGCAGTTCACCAACCAGGGTTCACATTTCTTAATGTCACCAGTAACAAAAGGCAAGGAAATGTAGATTATACAAACTAAATTAATTTGAAGGAATTTCAGTCCTGTTAATGTGTTTGCTGTGCTTGAATAGAAAAACAGATCTGAGTGGGGAGAAGACAAAAATGTGGTGCTTTGTTTCTAGAATTTATTTGGTAGAGTAGCTACGAACATGACTTTGTTGTAGGAAGGCAGAATGTAATGTACTGTTATTGAAATCAGGTCTTCAAGTCCTTTTTCTCAAGGAACTGATATTCTCTGAAAAGAGTTTCACAATGGTGGAGTTTTCAGAGCACGTTATAAAAAGAGGCATGGGCAAGGGGAACAATTTCTGTAAACCAAAACCGGGCAAAAAATTGCAGCCAAAGCATATTTTGAAAATTAAATAGGATGTTTTGACAGTTTGAAATCAAAACTTTTCATTTCCAAATGGCATTTTTCCATAAAAGTGAAATTAATCCATCTTAAAAAGGTTTCAGTGTCATTCCCTGTACCGGTCCCATTGACTTCTTTGAATTTTAATTCTTGCAGAAACTGGGATAAGCCTGTATTTTGGAGCTTTGCGGAAATGAACTCTACAGTGTTTGAGATGAGCCTTAGCTTGTCCTACAGACAAAGCTGAAATTCGTCCTCAAGAGATTCAGTTCCTTGATTTTGTTGTTTCCGCATCTGGCTCTGAAATAATAGTTTCATGCCTGCTTTTTTATTACTTTCTGTACACTGGAGGATTTTTTTTCCATTTTAAATTTTTTTAAAATCTCCTTCCAGGAAACATTTTGGCAGGCTTTGGGCCCTATGAGCAAACCAATGTTTTCTAACTACAGGTGTTCACCCAGCAGTAACGTTGCACTGTGCTACGCTCCAACCAGAACAAAAAAATGAATTATACTCACAAAATATGCCAGTGTTCCCAGTCTCACGCCTTCATCAGGGCTGAAATGTTCGTATACTCTGCTAAATCCAAGTCAACAATAAAAGAATCATGAGAAGTGCAAATGGAATTGTTTCTCTGCCAACTGGAGTGCAACGAGGCTTTGCTGTTTGATGAACAGCTGTAAATACTCCAGATTCCCCCATTGCATCCGTGCTGTGTTGATAGTAACGCTGCTGCTTTCTCTCTAAGATCACCGCAGTTGCTATCATTACACTGTTTGCTGCAGTTTCATAGATTCCCTCTGCTTTTCTTACCTTCCGGGTATTAGAAGTGCAATGCCCTATAGCAAATACAACTACAGCCTGAGCAAATCTCATGCCTTCTCTGTAATTTCAGAGCAGCGTTTTACAGCAAAACCAGCATTCCTCCTATTAAAATACCATTCAGGGGGATTTCCACGTGCAGGGACTACCTCAGAATTGAGTGACTCTTCCGAGTCATGCAGGGTGATGAGTTTGACAATCCAACCCAAGTCACCTCATTCAGCATACACGGTTCAGCCTGCATCTCTTGCCTACGCCTGACAGGTGGGGAAGAAAAGAATTATTTACTTAGTAATAGATAACTTCTGTTTTCTGAGATGTTTATCCTAATAGCACTAGGGGTTTAGATGGATATGTTAAGCACAGGATCAGATAAAAGCTATCATGTAACAGCATAGTCATTTTGCACGAGTATCGGTAGTAGTTTTGAGCCTGACTGCTTGCTGCATGCTCCATGTGCCTGCGGGATGAAGTAGGAGCAGAGCAGTAGCTCGGCAGATAAATTAGCCTTTTTGTCTCAGAAATACTTAGCACATTAGGAGAGGAGCTCGCTCACTGATTTAAACATAAGGCAGGTGTGGTTTCCTGATATCACCGTGACCATAGGGCTTCCTTTGTCAAGCCCTAGTGCTCTGGTATGGTTTAAAATGAAGGTATAGATATCCGTAAGTGGTCAGACCGCTTGGAGATGAAAACACTGGGACAGTAGGCTTGTGTTAGAC